TAGACCTCACCATGTCCATTACAGTCCTATTCTTCCTTTCTGCCACACTATTTTGCTGAGGTGTATATCTGGCTGTCAATTGATGTTTTATACCATTTTCCACCAAATAGTCATCACAAACAAGATACTCAGTGCCTCTGTCAGTTCTCAAAATTTTAATAAAGTAGCCACTCTGCTTCTCTACATAATATTTGAACCTTTTAAACACATCACATGCATCAGATTTATTTCTTAAAAAATACACCCATGTCTTCCTACTGAAATCATCAATGAAGGTGATAAAATACTTACTACCACCATTGGAAGGAACTTCAACTAAACATAAATCTAAATGAATTAGTTCAAGCGGTCGATTAGCCCTCCAAGCCTTGCCTTTTGGAAAAGGATCCCTGTGCTTCTTTCCCAAAATATAAGACTCACACTTCTTGTCCGGAAACTCAACAGAAGGCAACCCAACAACTAATTTCTTTCTTGCAAGAAATTTCAAACTCCCAAAATTCAAATGCCCAAAACGCATATGCCATAACCAAGAATCATCACAAGTCACGGAATTAAAGCAAGGTAAATCACCACAGTTAAGAGAAAGAGGCCACAAACGACTACGGTTCATTTTTACCTTGGCAATTAATCCCAATTTCTCATCACATATGGTGCCATCACCATATTTAAAATGCAAATCATAACCTTTCTCAGACAGTTGTCCCAAACTCAATAAATTATGATATAAACTTGGCACATAGAAAACATTAGAAATATAATTTGAAGACCCATCTTGCAAGATAATTCTGATTTTTCCTTTTCCAAGAACAGACACTTTTTCATTGTTTCCAAATCTCATAGATGCATGAAAAGATTCATCCAAGTCAGAAAACATCTCTTTTTTACCACACATATGATTACTACAGCCAGAATCAATAAACCAATCATTCTTCATAGACTCTTCAGATGTAGAACTAGAAAACAACAAGGTCTTCTCTCTATCACTACTATTTTCAGCCACTTTAGCATACACCTCTTTATTGGACCAACATTCATTCTGATAAAGACTAATTTTACCACAATTATAACATTGGACATTAGATCTATCATGCTTTTGAAAATTATTTCTTTGACTTTGCTGTTGACTATTTTCCTGATCCCTATTAGAATTGTTTCTGGGTTGGTAAGAATAATTACCTCTTCCATGACCACGAAAGTTACCTCTGCCTCCATGTTCTCTACCTCTGAAGTTCTGGCCCCTTTGATTTGTGTCCATACGATTCACCCCCTCTTTTCCTTTTGGGTGATCTACCTTGGCTTGTAACACCTCCTCTACTGTATCCGATGGCTGCTGATTCAAGGACATCTCATACGTCAGCAATTCTCCTTCCAATTCAGCAAGTGACAAATTGTCAAGGTCCTTTGTGGCTTCAAGGACCGTCTTCTTGGTGTGAAATTTGGCAGTTAGAGATCTTAGAACTTTTTCAACAATTCTAACCTTTTCCAAATTCTCACCATTGGACTCCATATCATTGACAATTTCTTTAATTGTGCCAATAAAATCTTTAACTGACTCCGTGGATTTCATCTGGGCCAACTCAATTTGTCTCCTAAGTTCCTACAATCTGATTTTTCTCACGTTAGCAGCACCTCGATTTGAGTTCACCAAAATTGTCCAAGCCTCTTTTGCCGACTATGCATGTATAAATTTTTTGGCTACATGCAACTGGACTTGAGTATTGAGATAGTACATTGCCTTGCAATCCAACTGTCTATTTCTCTCTAATTCTTTAACTGCATCACTTGATAATTCGATACCTTCTATCAGCTCTGTATATCCTGTTTCGACAATATTCCAAACTCCAATATTTTTGAAAAAATTCTTCATCATCGACCTCCAAGCCTCAAAATCGTTTTACCATCGAAGATAAAAATGTGACAATTGTGCAAATAATTTGGATCCATATTTTAATTTCTCCGGATCTCAAACAAAGCTCCGATGCCACTTTGTAGGAAACTAACCCACAGGATAGAATAATTCAAGTGAATCACACACTCAAAGTAATAGCTTGGCAGCGGAATATTTATATATAAACAAACGGGACAGCTAAAGAAAGAAACGAAGGACAGCAAAAGCTTCAGGAGGCAAACTTCTCAGATTGTTTTTCAATTCTCGGCTGTCAATAACAAGGCTACCAGTAGTGGTTTATATAGACCACTTTGTCTCCTAAAACTTAGCTTCCAAATCACAGAGGGAATACAATTGGACTTGGACTTAAAGAAACCAATACCGACTAGGAAACCAAGACTTGATTTAACTACTACAAGAATAGACAAATTCTTTAATGAACCCAGACGGTGTGGTCCTTGAAAAAGGCACGTCACCCTTTTGGCTTGTTTAAATAGGCATACATGCTTTCACATGTTAGTTAACTAATCATGGATTAACCTACTGTTATTAGAGTAATTGACCACTACAGAAAAATTTAAAACTCTTCTTCGATATAGGCTACGGATCAAATCTTTTACTTTACATTTTTCTATAGATTTTCTTTTGGAAATTTTACCATCAGATGCATATGCATCCATTTGATTTGGTGGTAATTCTGTCCCCCAACCTTTCCCCTTAATATAGAGTCTTAGAATTTCTCTTTGACCCTTTTAGGTTCACTTCTTTCGTCGGCTAAGAGATCAAATCCTTTCACTTATATTCTTTTCTAAAATTTTTTTGAGATTTTATCATCAGATACATATGCATCCGTTTGATTCGATGGCGATTCTACCCATCCCATCCCCCATCCCCCTAGTATAGAGTCTTGGAATATATCTTTGACCCTCTTAGATTCATTTCTTTCCTTGGTTAGGGGATCAAATTTTCTAACTTACGTTCTTCTCTAAAATTTTTTGAAGATTTTATCATCAGATGCACATGCATTCATTGATTTGGTGACGATTTACCTCCTCTAACCCTTTCCCCTAGTATAGTGTCTTAGAATTTTCCATCGACAAAAGTAGAAGCAAAAAAAAAAAAAAAGTTAACTAGCCATGGTTCACAGACGTAGGTGTTAACTTTTGAAGAATCCTTCAATTAATCCAAATTTATCAAAAGAACCCCTGTCAAACTCCATCATCACATTTGCTGCTTCACAACCTTTCTCCCACAAAACCTTCTTGCCCAATAACCCCACCACTAACTCCATCCTCCATCCCCAGCCCACTATCTTAAAATCCGCCCCATCTCATTCCTTAGAGATAATCAGATAAAACCCATGCTACCAATCTCCCGATCCCTCTCATCCCTTACTCGGCCCCATCTACTACCTCTCTATTGCAGATTTACTTTTTCTAAGCTATTTTTTTAATTTTCTTCCTTAGTTGCAATTATCCCCACTGTTTCCTGCGAAATAATATAAGATCTTTTTTAACTTTACAACATTGTATAGAAGTTCTTCTTTGGCATCTTCTGTTATTTACGTTATCCCCAAAGACAGAGAATAAGAATTAGATCATTGGATTGGAGACTTGTTAAATTACCAAGTGAAAGATTAAAAAATTAAAAGATTAGAAATGATGGGTGTTATTTGTGAGAAAGAGGTGTGAGAAGAAGATATTGACAAATCGGTTTGGAGAGAGCATAGAGAGGAGAAGAAGATAAGTTTACTCATCTCTGCATTTAACCAAGCAAACCGGTTGTCCTTCCCCATCAAAACGTGCACTAGAAATCTGTGATTAAGATGTATCCATAACTTCGATTTAAGTTATAGACTGTGGTACTCATATTATCCTTTTTTTTTTAAAAAAAAACTTTCAATTTTTTCCTCTTATTCTTGTCTATAATCTAAGTAAGGCTTTAAAAGGACCAGATTTGTTTAATCCAATTTGCCCAAAAACTCTCCTCAACTGCCTTCCTAAGGAAAGGTTTGAAGTTTGGATATTGATAGGAGCGGAAATCATTTTTATTTTTTGGTTTTTTTTTGTAGCTAAAAGGGAAAAAAAAACAAATACAAGAAGAGGAAACCCGTTAGCCCCAGTTACTAGAAGTAACATGGCTACTTAAAAAGTCCACAAGGTCCATAATTGGGGATATAGATCTGGTTGACCCAAACTTTTACCACTGGAATAAATTGAATTTGCATAACAACTGGTACGTGTAATACACAATTTAGAACTGAAATATGTTCAAAACATCACTTATATTTCATCAAATGAAGTTTTTTATTATTTATTTTTAAAATATTAGTTTTTCGTCTCTTACAAATTCAAGTCGGCAAAATTTGATTCTAATCTAAGTTTTGAACTACTTTTTAGCTTAAAGTATCACTTTTAAATGTTAATTTTACCCCTTTTCAAAATATCATTTTCTCTTATTCTAAGGGTACATTTGATAAAATTGAATTTTAAAATTTGAAATTTGAAGTCTAAAATCTGAAACATGAATCCATTAAGTTAGTGAATAGTTACGTACTAAATTTAATACATTTAAGTGTATACTATATTAAGTGATAAGTGAACAGTTTAAAACTTTTTTTTTGGAGTAAATTTTGTTTAGAAAATTCAGTATCAATTAATGAATTCAGATATTCTAATTTTGATTATCAAATGTATTTAAATATAGGAAATTTTGCCAAATTGGTCCTAACATTTTCACAAAAAAAAATTTTTAGTCCTCAACATTTAAAATCAGCTAAAATCGTCCCTAACATATAAATTATGATCCATTTTAGTCCTAATGCTTATATTTGCTCATTTCTTCTACTGAAAATAGCACACCTCTCTCACGTGGACATACTTTTAAGGGCAAAATCTAAAAACATACTTCATTCCAAGTTGAAAGTAAAAGTACCCCTTTCACCTTTTCCCCTAAAATTACAGTAAAAAAAAACCCTAATTTTTTCCCTGAATTTTGGGAGGAAGCATATGGAGGAGGCATTGTGTATCTAATGTTGAATGGGGCTCTCCTTTTCTTTTGCTTTCGTGCCAACCAGACACCAAGCACCATAAGACCAATTGCTAGAAAGCCCATGAATCCAATTGCCATGACAACTCCGCCCTTCATGCTCCCACCATTTCTGGATATTGTGATTGCTTTAATATTTGGAGCAGGTGTAGTTGATCTTGCAGTGGGTTTCTCAGGGGCAATTGCTGGTAAGACTGAGCTAATTAGAGCATTAGCTTGGGATGTATTATTCCAGGAGGCAGGGGAGAAGGTGGAATAAGAGATGTGGTGATGGGATAAGGAGACGGCACCAAAAGTGGAGGGGGATTTAACAAGAATGGAGTCTGGGAAGAAGCAGGTGGTGGTGGCGGAGGTAATGCAGGAGAGGAAGGGCTGGTGAGCTATGACTTTATAGTAGGAGGAGGTGGAGAAACTGAGGTAAGTGGTGATGGGACTACAATTGGCAGAGGAGGAGAGGGTGAAAGAGTTGGAGATGGAGGTGCTATGCCAAAGGAAGGGGAAGGTGATACTTGTGGGGAAGGAGGAGGTGATAAGTTTATAGATGGAGGGGGGCACCAGGAGGGTGGGTGTTGGTGGCATAGACGGAAGGGGAAGGAGGGATGGGGGAGGTAAGGAAGAGGAAGGGGGCGGTGTTGATAATGGTGGTGGTGATGATTGGGGTCGGGGAGAAGGGGAAAGGTAAGTAAGGAAGTATAATTTTCGATTTTGCCCCTAAAAATATGTCCACGTGAGAGAGGCGTGTTATTTTCAGTCGAAAAATGAGCAAATACGATCATTAGAACAAAAATGGATCATAATTTATATGTTAGGAACGATTCTAACTGATTTTAAATGTTAGAGACTAAAAAAGTTTTTTGTGAAAATGTTAGGGATCAATTTAGCAAATTTCTTTTAAATATATTAAGATCTAAACCTATTAAATTTAAAGTGTTGAATTCGGTTATCAAACAGATTTTAAGTTTTTGGGGTGTATACATCTTTGTCTGAGACTGCTTTACGATTCTGATAAAGAGAAGCAAACTGTAAACACTGATTTTTTTATCATTTTGATTTTCTTAGAAATGGGAAAGGTAAGTTGATACATTTTGAATTAAGTTTTATTTTCTTTCCTTTTGTTTAATGCACTAAGTTTTGATTTTTAGCTTTGAGAAAAATGAAAATAATAATAAATAAGGTAAGTTTCTAAGAAATTTCCTAATGCACACACCCTCACGCACTTGGGCACTCCACCAACATCAAAGGAAACAAAATATATAGAAGTTGACTTTTAACCCAAAAAAAAAAAATCAAAGGAAACGACTAGAAAGCTTCCGTCCAGGATTCTTTTCTCATCTCCAAGTAAAAGCGAGGGCCTTCTCTTTTCATCTCCTGAGATTCTATGCGCTCTACCGACAGCAATGGAAATGACCAGAAAGCTTCCTTCTTCAATGCCTTCCAACTCAGAAAAGCCCACTACCATTTTTTGGATTTTTTAAAAGCAAGAAAGCACAGCTTTTGATGCACTAATCAAGATTTAAATTCTCGATGTTATGCACCGAAAAGATTTAAGGGATAATTTCAGAAACCTTTCCTGAGATTTTTAATAATTTTACTGAGCTCCTCTGAGATTTGAAAAATTAAACTTACTTTCCTTGATTTTATAATTTTAGTAACAAAACCTTAAAATAATATTGGTTTGGTCAAATATTTAAATGAATACCCAAAAATACCTTTGTGTAATGAGTTTTAATTTATTTTCCTATACAATTATAAAATTATCTATTATAATTATAAAAAAAAATATACCAAATTTTTCATGTTCATACTTACTATTTGATAAACAACTATAATAATAATTTTATCACTATAATATGATACTTTTGATGGTATTTTATTATGGATTTAGATTTATAAGATAGAAAAGAAAATGTTGAAATATTTCATTTATAGTTTTTGAATTTTTGAGTAATGGGATTATCACAATTTAGTAGTGCCTTTGGGCCATTTTTTTTATTTATTGTTAATTTTAATAACAAAAAATAGAAAAAAAAAAGATTAACAAAAAACATTAGATTATATATAAAATTAACTCGTAAAAACAATCACTAGTTCGATATTTGGTTATAATAGAAACTAGAGGCAATAGTAGTAATTCTACAGTTTTATTGGCAAAAAATTTAAAAAAAGGAATAAGAAGGAAAAATAATGAAAAATAATTTTAAAACTCATTCTAAATATAAGCATACCAAATAAAGAAATTTCATTAAAATATTTAAGGGTAAAATTATCATTTTAAATAATAAGGGAGGTATGTATAATTTTTTAAACCTAAAGAGAGTTCAGTAAAATTATTAGAAACCTCAGGGGAGGTTTCTGAAATTATCCCAAGATTTAAAGAGGCTCTCTCAATCATCTTCTAAAGTACGAATGAGTCCATATATCGAGAAGTGTTTGACAGTTCCTACTATAGGAACTGACTACGTGTGAGGCCAAGAAATAGACACGAAGGTTGCTGTCCAAACTCGTTGGAATTGTGATAGGGAGGGCCATTGAATGCACGGGTGATGGTCGTGAATGCGGAGTCGCTTAAGAAAGAGGCGTTGGGGCTGGGCTGGGGACCCATAATCACATGGCTGAATTTTGTAGGAATTGGTGGTGGGTTACCATCAGATTGTCCCTAGGGATGGCAATGGGGACGGGTGCCCGCGGGCGGGGGGGAATTTTTTCCCCCCGCTTAGAAACGGGGCGAGGGGCGGGGGAGTATACCCCCGCCCCATCCCCCGCCCCGCCACCCGCAAAATATATATATATATATAAATGACTATATATTATATGTAAGTTAATTAGTTATAAACTTATGATAATGATATTATTAGTTAGATGTATTATATAATGTATATTAGTTTATGTAATATAGTTGATATTATCAATTATATGAATAATTATACATGTCTACTAATAGAATTTATTAATTAGTTATACTAAATTTACTAATACATTTATACTAAATTTCTATTTACACTTAATAGAATAACACTTTTTTCTCAAAAAAAAGCACAAACACAATGATGAATTAGTGATTGCATTTGTACTAAAAGTGAAAATTTGACTATTTTAGTTATATTTATTTCATCATATTGGATTGTATTCAAATAACTTCTGTTTGATTGTTTTTATGAGTTTCAATTGTAAAATTACAATGAATAATAATTTGGTGATGTGTTGATATTTTAGTACTTGATTATTTATTAAAAATTAATTATATAATAAAATTTTATTAACCCCGCGGGTGTCCCCGCGGGAGAAGCGGGGCAAGGCGGGGCGGGGGGAGCGGGAGGCGGGGGACGGGGCGGGGGACGGGGGGAACTAATAGGCAACGGGGCGGGGGAGGGGTCCCCCGCCCCAACCCCGCCCCGTTGCCATCCCTAATTGTCCCACTGAATGAAATTATTCGAGGGGTACTAGTACTGCAATGGTTGCTTATCTTTTTCTGACTGTGCTGTTTCTTTTTGTTTTCTCCTATTGCTCTTGCCAGTTCTTGGTTATAAGATGAAAAAGAAATGGAAAATCAGGGATTTGGTTATCAAGATTTGTAAGAAGAATTTCTAATTTTTTTGGGTTTACATTATAAATACAGATTTCAATTACTTTTTATATCACATATATATTGCAAGCCACAATATTATTTTAGATAATTTTTTTCAAATAATTTTCTATCCAAATAGACCCGTCGTTTTCTCTATTTTTTTGCAGATAATGTTCTAGAAAATGGATCCAACCACCCAAGAAAATGACGTGAAATATGTTAAAGGATTTCAAATACAATCATTTCATGTGAAATACATGATTTGGGGACAATTGCTTGTTATGGGGTAATTATCTTTTCCCTGTCCCACTTTTTCTACTCTATATTATAAGGAATAATTTCACAAACCTCCCCCGAGGTTTCTGACACTTGCACTGAGACCCCTCCAAGTTTCAAAAATTTCACCTAGCTCCCTTGCTTTTCAAAATTTGATAATAATTCAGTCCAATTAGAATTAAAATATTACTGTCATGATAGAGATGGCATTTATATTCCATGAATACCCTATTCCTCCCTATATTAGTACAAGATTGCTTATTAATAAAAAGGTAGACATGATTATCAAAGTTGAAGAGATATAAATGTAATTCAGGAATATTTCTTTTGTTACGCTAAGACATCTTCAGTAGCTGACAGGAATAGCCAACGGTCTGATGCAATCTTCCAACGGCCAAAAATTTGGAAACCTCTAAGTGCATATAAACATCTGGAAACCACATTTTATCCTCAAGCCAAAAGATTGTGAGGAGCATTAACAGAAGACTAAGTTGAAAACATTTAGCAGATTCAATGGTCTCTTCAAGCCAACTAGCAAAATCCTGGAATTCACTCACAACTTTCACTATTAAAAACAAATATTGCTACTGCAATTGCAAGGCCACAGTGAAGATATCAAAGAGCGAAAAGAATCCGGACAAATTGTATTTCTGCTACTCAAAATGCAGATATTTCAAATGGTATGATGGAGGAGAAGAAGAAGAAGTTAATAGCAGAAGAAGCAACCAAGACACAAACAGGGAAAGAGATATTAGCAGAGCTAGAGTGCTTGGCATTTTAGAAAGGCAATCTGATGTTGCCGTAGAACTGCAAAGACAATTTCCAGCTCCAAGTGTCTTAGGAAACGTGTTGCTCATCACCAATATGCTACTATTAGCTTTATTTATTTTCATTCAAATAGTAAAATCAATTGGCTGAATTCATGTAAATCTGCTGCAACATTGTAGCAGTTGTAGTATGCCTTTTGTGGTGAAAGCCAAGTGAAACTAGAAGACTATGTCAGTTAGAATGCTACGTAAACCAATGTAAAATCCATGTATGTAGCAGTTTACAGTCATTGTATGAGGTAATGAATAGCACCAGTATGCTAATTTGACAATAGCTCCTGAATGTTAATAGCAGTGACATTACACATGCTAAAATGCAATAATCATATCAGTAGTACATATAACATTTCCATCAATGCAATCCATAAGTACAAAACGCCATCTACCAGGACAGTTTCTATAGCAGATGGTGAGGATTGCACCATTAATATTGTAAGAGAGTGTAAGCTTGCATTAACAAAACATTTCAGCAATCCTAACTTCTGGTACATTTCCATATAGCATTACCGAATTCAAAAGAAGCTAAGCTAATCATTACACGCTAACTAGTTTGAACTGGCAACTCAAAACCAGTTGCTGAAAGTGCTGGTACTGGTAATGCTATTAGAGTTCACATTTACTGGTGCATTCATGCTGACAGATATAGCATTTTCAGATTCAGAAGTCAATTGAACTGGCACCTAAGGATTGGAGTAGATTCTGGTACTTTTGGTCCTACCAGCACCTTTGACTATTGAAGTAGAAGGATTGTTTGAAGCAGGCCTTCCTCTTTGTAAACATAATAGCATGAAAGTCAAGTTCATAGCAAAAATTGTATCACTGAACTTGTTATTCTCTTAGACAAGTTATAGTATACAAGTTAACACCTTTCTGTTAGAACTTGCAGCAGTAGTTTGACAATTGTTCTGCACGTTAACACCTCCATTATGATTAGTAGGACTAGG